CACGGGGTCAGGCTGGGCCAGCAGAGGGGCTCCTGTTTCTCAGGGTGGCAGAGCCAGAAGCTTCAATGGCCGGAACTGTCCCCCAGGCCCTCTTGTTGCCTTGACCTCCACCCTCTGTGTCCGTAGTCCTCCCCAGCCCAGCGAGGGGCTCTGCCTCAGCTCCCCACAGCGCCTGCCCATCCTGCCCTGAGTTCCCTGGCACCCAGGCCCCACCACTTGGAGGTGGGATTTGGAAGAACAGGAGAAAGGGGAACTCTTATTCTTCTAAAGCAATCCAAGGATTGTTCCAGACCCTTCTGCAGGGTGAGCTGCCTGGGGACTTGAGATTAGTTTTAACAAGAAGCTGTCCTGACCTGGCCAACTCAGCTCAGTGGATAAAGCACCAGCCTGCGGACTGAAGGGTCCCAGGTTTGATTCCAGTCAAGGGCACATGCCCGATTTTGGGCTCAATCCCCAGTACGGGGCATGCAGGAGGCAGCCAATCAATAATACTCTCTCAGCATTGATGTTTCTATCTCTCCCTCTCCCTTCACTCTGAAATCAATAAAAATATATTTAAAAAAATATATATCTATATATATAAAAGTCTAAGTGACCAGCCAACCAGTAGCTATGACGCACACTGACCACCAGGGGGCAGACAGTCAATGCAGGAGCAGAAACCACAGGCATGGAAACATGGAACAGATTGATGAATCTCAGAGAGAAGGGGGAAGTAGGGGGGGAGGGGGGAGAGGGCAGGAAGAGATTAACCAAAGATCTTATATGCATACTAGAGTCCCAGTGCATGGCCTGGCCTGCGCCCTCTCGCAATCCGGGACCCCTCAGGAGATGTCAGAGAGCCGGTTTTGGCCTGATACCTGCAGGCCAGGCTGAGGGACCCCACTGGTGCATAGCACTGGGCCTCTAATCTATAATAGTGAAAGCATAATATGCTAGTTAGACCAGACATCCTTCAGGATGACCTTCTGGATGACGCTGCGGTAGCTGGGGCCAAGGCAGAGGCAGCCACCATGGCGGGTGGCGGGGGTGGGGTGGGGTGGTGGTGGTGGTGTCAAACCCCTTGCATGAATTTCGTGCACCAGGCTTCTAGTATATATACAAAAAAGCTGTCCTGCTGGCATTCATCCCGTGCCCCCTGTCCACATCACTCACCCCTGACCCCTGATCACCTGATTGTGGGGATCGGGGTGTGGGGTGCAGACTGCCCAGCCCTCCCTGTGTGCTCTGGTGCTGATGCAGCCCAGGGTCCTCCAAAGGCCACAAGCTCCCCACATCCTGGGACAGGCGTGCCAGCCTCGGGGCAGGACCGCCAAGGAGGATGGGTGTGGCCACCTCCAGGGGGGTCTCCATGGTCCCGGAGACTGCGCAGGACGGTGGGGGGACACAGCCTCACAGTGAGTGTCCTGGACACTATGAGGCAACAGAAACCATGGCCACAGAGCAAGCTCTTGGGAGGGGGACCCCTACCCAAGGGGAGCCTTGGAGAGCAGGTCCCTGGGACCCCAGCCACCTAGGCTTTGCGTGGGCTCTGGGCGGTTGCAGGCCCTGTCTGGACACCTCGCCCTGGAAGCTTCCACAACTAGCAGCTCCTCCTCCCTTGAGCCGGCTCTGCCCCCTAGTGGGGGGACAGGATGTTCTGTCCTGGTCACGTCCCTTCCCCTCCCCTGGCCTCCTGAGGTGGTGATTTAGGAGCCGGGTGTCTGCAGAGCCTTCGGACCCACTCAACACCCGGTGACCTCAAGAAGCCGCCAGCGAAACGCGTGGAGGAGACGCGGACTTCCTGCTGAGGCCCTCGCGGAGCAGCTTGAAACCTGTGAACCGTCTCACACTCTCTTAGGTGAGCACGCAGCTTAAACATGTACGTTTGACTTGTCGCTAAGGGCATGCGTAATTTCTGGGATATTGCCAGAATTTTAACACTGACCTTTCATTTGTTAATTTTCAAAATATGTTTTTATTGAAAACTCTATTTTTATTTTTAAATATATTTTATTGATTCTTCACAGAGAGGAAGGGAGAGAGATAGAGAGCTAGAAACATTGATGAGAGAGAAACATCGATCAGCTGCCCCCTGCACATCTCCTACTGGGGATGTGCCCGCAACCGAGGTACATGCCCTTGACCGGAATCGAACCCGGGACCCTTCAGTCCACAGGCCGACGCTCTATCCACTGAGCCAAACCGGTTTTGGCTATTTTTATTTTGAGAGAGAGAAACATCAGCGTGAGAGAGAAACGTCCATCTGTTGCACGCCTGGACTGGGGATCGAACTCCCAACCTGGGCATGTGCCAGACCCAGGAGTCAAAGCGGCAACACTTTGGTGTATGGGAAGACGCTCCAACCAGCTGAGCCACTCTGGCCAGGGCTAACACTGACATTTTAAAATATGTATATTTTTTATTCATTTCAGAGAGAAAAGAAGAGGGAGAGAGAGATAGAAACATCAATGAGAGAGAATCATTGATTGGCTGCCTCCTGCACGCACCCCACTGGGCATGTGCCCTTGACTGGAATTGAACCTGGGACCCTTTAGTCCGCAGGTCAACACACTATCCACTGAGCCAAGCCGGGTAGGGCAACATTAACACTTTTATTTTTTAAAAATATATTTTATTGATTTCTTACAGAGAGGAAGGGAGAGGGATAGAGTTAGAAACATTGATGAGAGAGAAACACTGATCAGCTGCCTCCTGCACACCTCCCACTGGGGATGTGCCCGCAACCAAGGTACATGCCCTTGACCAGAATCGAACCTGGGACCCTTCAGTCCACAGGCCGATGCTGTATCCACTGAGCCACACCGGTCAGGGCTGACTCTGTTTTTGAACTTCATATAAACAGAATCCTGTGTTATGTTCTCCTTCGTGCCTGGCGTCGCTCACCTAACCCTGTGTCTGTATTTGAGGGGGGCTGTTAGAGAGGTGATCAAGTTCAACTATGGACATGAAGGTGGGCCCTCATCCAATAAGATTGCTGTCTTTCTTTTTTTTTTCTTTAAACATATTTTTATTGATTTCAGAGAGGAAGGAAGAGGGGGAGAGAGAGAAAGAAACATCAATAATGAGAGAGAATCATTAATCTGCTGCCTCCTGCACGCCCCGTACTGGGGATCGAGCCCACAAGCTGGGCATGTGCCCTGACTGGGAATCAAACCTTGATCTCATGGTTCATAGTTCGATGCTCAACCTCTGAGCCATGCAGGTCGGGCTGATTGTTTATTCTCCTTCCTTCCTCCTTCTTTCCCTCCCTCTCTTCTTTCCTTTCTTCCTTCCTCCCTCCTCATCCAAGGATATTTTTCCATTGAGTTTTACAGAGAGTGGAAGGGAGGGGGAGAGACGAACAGATAGAGAGAAACATTGATGTGAGAGAGACACATCGATTAGTTGCCTCCCGCACACGCCAACCAGGACCAGGGTACGTGCTCTTGACTGGAATCGAACCCAGGACCCTCAGTCCTCAGGTAGGTGCTCTATCCACTGAGAAACACCGGCCAGGGTGATAGCTGTATTTCTAAGAAGAGATTGGGACAAAGACATGCAGAGGGCAGATGTGAAGACGTGGGGGGGGGGGGGGACAGATGTCTACGAGGAGGGCAGAGCCAGCCCTGACCTCACAGCTGGGCAGCTTGCTTTCCCCAGAACCGGGGCCTGGATGGAGGCCGAGAGGCGGTAACTCGGGGGTCAGTGCTTTGGGATGTCACCTGGGGGTGCCATGCCCTCACCTGGGCATGTTATATTCCTTAGCAGAGTCACCAGGTCCTGCCACACCCGAGGGGCGGGAACCACGCCAGGAGGCAGGGCCCTTGGGTCTCAGGCTGCCCGCCACAGGGGCTGTGCGAGACCCCAGAGCCACGAAGAAAAGGGCGGCACATGATTTCAAAGCTGGCAGAGTGAGCGGCATGCCACAGGGAGGAACGGGGCGTCATTCACACTCGCCACCCACAGCATCTGCGCACACACCGGCATCACAGCCATGGCGGCAAGAGCCGCTGCCGTGCCCACCTGCGTGTGGCCATGTGAACGCCATGCCACTCGGGAACCAGCACCCATTTCCTGGTTATGCTGAGTGTGCACGGAGCCGACGCCAGCGTCACCGCAAAGGGTGAGACTCCAACCACCTCCCAGCTGACAAGCTAGCCGCCCGATTTCACAGGTCCTCACCTGCGGGTCTCCGGGCCCTCACCTGGGGGGTCTCAGGGTCCTTATTGGGGGTCTCAGGGTCCTTATCTGGGGGGTCTCAGGGCCCTCACATGGGGGGTCTCAGGGCCCTCACCTGGGGGGTCTCAGGGTCCTTATCTGGGGGGTCTCAGGTCCTCATCTGGGGGGTCTCAGGTCCTCATCTGGGGGGCCTCAGGGCCCTCACCTGGGGGGTCTCAGGGTCCTTATCTGGGGGTCTCAGGGCCCTCACCTGGGGGTCTCAGGGCCCTCACCTGGGGGGTCTCAGGGCCCTCACCTGGGGGGTCTCAGGGTCCTTATTGGGGGTCTCAGGGTCCTTATCTGGGGGGTCTCAGGGCCCTCACCTGGGGGGTCTCAGGGCCCTCACCTGGGGGGTCTCAGGGTCCTTATCTGGGGGGTCTCAGGTCCTCATCTGGGGGGTCTCAGGTCCTCATCTGGGGGGCCTCAGGGCCCTCACCTGGGGGGGGTCTCAGGGTCCTTATCTGGGGGTCTCAGGGCCCTCACCTGGGAGGGGTCTCAGGGTCCTTATCTGGGGGGTGTCAGGGCCTCACCTGGGGGGGTGTCAGGGCCCTCACCTGGGGGGGTGTCAGGGCCCTCACCTGGGGGGTGTCAGGGCCCTTAGCTGGGGGTGTCAAGGCCTCACCTGGGGGGTCTCAGGGCCTCACCTGAGGGCTTCTGGTCCTCTCCTGGGTCTTCCCTGACAAGCGGGGGCTCTGCTGCTCAGGGCATGTAGGACTGAGGTGACTGCAGAGGAACTGCGGGCAACCCGTGTGTAACACACGGAGTTACACATTAGCAGTAAGAAGAGAAAGAAATCGCAGTGTGTGCTAGTAGGTTTTTTATTGTGTGTATATTGGTAAGTGCGTGCGTGAGCATGTGTGCGCGTGTCTGCAGACACACTCAGAAGGCAGCTTCATACAGGTTCCTGAGGTCACAGCGGCGGAGCATGTGGGCCCGGTCACTCGTCATGCGGCCCCGCCAGCCAGGAGCAGCCCTGCGCTCTGAGCTGAAATGCGGGCCTGAGTGGGAGGGACCCAGGTGGTCCCGGGAGCCTAGCGGGAGAATCGCTATTTGTACACTGTTTCCTGGACGGGCCTGTTATCCAGGGGGAGGCAAGACCCCGGAGGCCTCGGCAGGGGGGGCCAGGGGCCGGGGAGGGGTCACCAGCTTCCGGTTCTTGGGGTGGTGCTGGTCACTCCCTGTTGCTTCCTCTGCAGCCCAACCCGTCCGTCCGTCCGTCCCTCCGTCCGGCGGTCCTGTCTGCTCCCGCAGGCAGAAGGGGCAGCTTTGGACATAGGAGCTCAGGCCCTGAGGGTGCTTCCCTGCCCTGGCCTGCAGCCCTCCTCCCTTCCCTCCCTGTGAAATGTCCCCTGAAGAATGATGGCCCAGCCCTGGCCGGTGTGGCTCAGTGGATAGAGCGCCGGCCTGTGGACTGAAGGGTCCCGGGTTCGATTCCAGTCAAGGACACATGCCCAGGTTGTGGGCTCGATCCCCAATTGGGGGGGGGGGGCGTGCAGGAGGCAGCTGATCAATGGTTCTCTCTCGTCATTGATGTTTCTATCACTCTCTCCCTCTCCCCTCCTCCCTGAAATCAACTAAATATACGTAAGAAATGATGGCCTAGAGGGGTGTGAGGGGACAGAGGGCTAGAGAGGGGAGTGGGGCAGCTGGGTCCCAACTCCCCCACCCCATGTCCCCATGTCCTGGGAGAGGGAGAGGGGACAGGGGATGCCCCAGCCGGCCCTCCTGGGGGAACTGCCAGGCACTCCTAGCTTCTCAGATGGATGTAAATGTCATGTTCAGATAAAACCCTTTCTCCAGTCAGACGTCACATGCCACATAAACAGCACTCAGTGCGCTGTAGCCTCCCTCTACAGGCGCCGCGGGCGGCGTGGGGCTTTCCTGTCGATTTCTCCTGGAAAGATGCTCCGATGGCGAGGCGAGGCCTTCAACCTGAAAAGTGTGTCTCAGGGCAGGTGAGAGGGTTCTCTTCGCGAATAAGCACAAGCAACTCGCAGCCGGACGGACGGACGGTCGCAGTTTAAGGTTCCAGAACAGCCTGCGCACCGGCCAGGGCAGCCTCTGGCCTCGAAGGGGAGGTCAGACCGGACCCGCACGTTCTGCTTCTCTGTGGGCGGCCGGGTCCCGTTACTCACACACACAATGTCCTGCTGCCGAACAGAGAATAGGCACCGCGGCGGAGAGAATTTCTGCAAAAACACAAAGGGCCACCTCCCTCCAGTGACCAACCATTTCCCGGAAAATAAGAGAAGCAGAGGCAGCGTGGAAACGGCCCCAACAGCGGCTTCAGGCGTTGGAAAGGCAAACAGCGAAACCACCAGCTTCCCAAGTCGCTCCAGCTCCTTCAGCTGGAGAACAAGGCAGCTCTGAGCCCTTTGTGTGAGGGCAGCTGCTCGCCGCCCCCCGCCCCCCCACTATCCCTCTCCAGCCGCCCGGCCTCAGAACTAATAAGAGACACAGGGGAACCTCACTCTGCAGCTCAGGCCTTAAACCAGGGGGACCAGGCCTCACCGAATCGAAAGCTAACCGCTAGCTCACGTCCTCGTCCAATTTCAAATGTCTGATGATGTGGATTAAAAAAGAAACATCCTCTGTAAGGACCGCGACGGGAGGAAAAGGCTGGCGCGCTCTCCAAGGGGGACGGGGCGGGGCGGGGCGGGATGTGAGGTTGCTGGTTTCTCAAAGCGCGATCGTCGGGAAAACAGCTGCAGAGGGTTCGCCGAGGGTCCAGAAGCGCGCGGGGCGGGCCAGGCTTCCGCTCCCGCAGGAGGCGCTCGGCGGCGGCTGGACGGCTCCACAGGCGGGTGCGGGCTCCGGGCTTCGCCGTCGCGAAGGTGGCCGCGCATTAGCCGATGAACCTCTCCGACGGCCCGGTCCCCGGGGCGCTCGCGGGCGCCGCGCGGGCCTCCGCCTCGGGCGGGGCCAGGGCCTCCATCTCGCGCACCACCTGCGTGAACACCTGGTCCACCATCCGCTTGCTCTTGGCCGTGACCTCCAGGAACGGGCAGCGCCACTCGCGGGCCAGCGCGCGGCCCCGCGCCGTCAGCACCTGGCGCTCGGCGTCCAGGTCGGCCTGGGTGCCCACGAGCACGAGCGGCACGGCCCGGGCGCCCCGCAGGCGGCCCATGCGCTCCCGCAGCGGCCGCACCGCCGCGAAGGAGGCCTCGCTGCGCACGCTGTACAGCACCACGAAGCCGTCGCTGTTGCGGATGTACAGGTCCCGGAGCGTGACCAGGTGCTCGGCGCCCACCGTGTCCACGATCTCCAGCAGCGCGGGCGCCGCGTTCACCTCGATGAGCTTGCTGAACAGCTCCTCCACCGCCGGCTCGCAGCGCTCGGGGAAGCGGCCGCACGCGAACTGCGTGGCCAGCGCCGTCTTGCCCACGGCCGCGCTGCCCAGCAGCACCACCCGGTAGCCCTTGGCGGGTCGCGGCACCAGCCCGGCCATGGCGCACGCCCTGCGCGGCGGCGGGAGGCGAGGAATGGCGCGCGGGGCGGGGGAGGGGCGGCGGGGGAGGGGAGGGACCCAGCGCAGGGGAGGGGACGCGGGGAAGGGGGGCCCCGGGTGGGGCCGCGCCGGCGGTCGGGCGGGCGTCTGCGTTAGCTCAGGCCCCGATCTGCGCCCCCCCCCCCCCCCCCCCCCGCGCTTGGGGCTCACCCCGCCCCCGCTCCTCGTCCCTCTCGGGTGTCTGCCAGCCCCGGGCCTGGAGGCTCCACGTACTCCCCTCCCCACCCCCCCCAGCTCGCCCCTCAACCCAGACTCTGATCCCTCTCGGCCTTCCTCCCACCGTCCTGGGACGCAGCTGCCCTCCGTCCAGGCCCCGGCTCGCCTCCCGAGAAGAGCCCCTGGGTCTGCCCAGGAAGGTAACCCGATCCTTCCACGTCGCCCCGGAATGCAGCTTTCCCCACCCCTTCCCCACCCGAGTCTGCCTGGTGGCCGGGAGCCAGGCTGGCCTCGCTGAAGGTCAGGCCTGACTGGCTGCACAGCTGGGCCCTCTCCAGGCAGGGAGGCCCAGAGAGGGGGAGGCCCAGAGAGGGGGAGGGCTCAGAATGGGGGAGGGCCCAGAGAGGGGGAGGGCCCAGAGAGGGGGAGGGCCCAGAGAGGGGAGTCCCAGAGAGGGGGAGTCCCAGAGAGGGGGAGTCCCAGAGAGGGGGAGTCCCAGAGAGGGGGAGGCCCAGAGAGGGGGAGGGCCCAGAGAGGGGGAGGCCCTAGAGAGGGGGAGGCCCAGAGAGGGGGAACCTGGAGGGAGCTTCAGAGGAAGGCCCCTCCTGCGCCGTCCCTCCTTCCCCTCCTCTGCCTCCCCCCAGCCCCTCTCTGGCTGCGCAGGCCCAGGGGACTTTGCTAAAAGGTCATTCACACTTCACCGCCCCCAGGACCCGCCCTGCTTTCCACCGGCCTCCTGGCCTAGAGCGTAACTCACCATCCACCTGCTCCCTTCGCCTTGAAGAGTGCACCTGTGCGTGAAGGTGAGCTCCTGGGGGTGGGGAGGCTGGGGGTGGGGAGGCCGGGGCGAGGACCGGGGGCTGGGCAGAGAGCCCTGGGATTGGTCACCCGAGGAAACCCCACCTCTTCTCCTGGCAGCAGATGCCTTAGGACTTGAGGGCGGGGTGGGGGCTGCAGGGGAGGTACCCAGCTTCCCCTTTCCCTGCCCGACCCCCTCCGACGCTGACCCAGCCGGAACGCCCGGCCTCTGGCAGCACAGGCCGGAGGTGAAGTCCAAGGGCCGAGGCTGCATCTTCCCTGGGGCACCAGTCTCTCCCGTGGAGCATGAGCCCGCGGCCAGCACAGCCCACACCGGGTTTCTAAACAGAGGGCCCTGCCGGGCTCTGCCCGCCACATAACGAACTGAAAGCCAGTTGGAAAGACGGGGCGGCAGACACCCTCGGAGGAACGCGGCTCAGGCCCGGCTTCAGCAGCTCCCACGGGTGACTGCGGAGGGGACACAGCGGGCAGCCCTGGGAGCCAGCGCCGTGGAGGCCCCGGGCCGTGCAAGCTCCTGCAGGAAGGCAGGGCTGGGCCTGAGCAGAGATGTGAAGTCATTACGCTTTAGGTGTTTAAGAAATAATTTGTTGTTGTTGTGAATCCTCACCCGAGGATATTTCTCCATTGGTTTTTAGGGAGAGTGGACGAGAGAGGGAGAGACAGAGAAACATCGATGTGAGACACACAACCTTGGTTGCCTCCTGCACCAGCCCTGACCAGGGCCTCGACCAGGGAAGAGCCTGCAACCGAGGTACATGCCCTTGCCCGGAATCGAACCTGAGACCCTTTGGTCCTCCGGCCAACACTATCCACTGAGCCAAACTGGCTAGGGCCTAACTCTTTTTTTAAAAAAAATGTTTTTCCTGATTTTTTTTTTTTTTTTAGAGAGAGGGAGAGGGATAGAAACATCAACGAGAAATCTCATCAATCGGCTGCCTCCTGCACAGCTTCTACAGGGGGTCAAGCCCACAACCCGGACATGTGCCCTGACCAGGAGTCCAACCGGTGACCTCTTGGTTCCTGGGTCGATGCTCAAACATTGAGCTACACCGGCGAGGCCGAGCTCTCTTAATTTACGTTCCCTCCAAAAGCAGAATCTATGACATGAGACATGATCTTACGGGCAAACCGTTTACTTTTGGAAATGATGTCGAGGGTCAGGAATGGGGCCTTGGAAGAGAGAAACCGGTGACCTGCTGGGGCCAGAGGCGAGGCACTGCGGGTGCAGGTCTGAGCAGAGAGCTCACCCCGTGTTTGCGCGATGACGGAGGGACTGGCTGCAGAGTCGGCCTGGCTCACCTGCTCAGCGGGTGGCAGAAATGAGGCCCCGGGACCCGCAGTCTAGGTACCGTCTGGCCTCCAGCCCCAACAGATGCAGGGAGGGAGGAGGGCGAGTTTGCTGCCCCCTCCTGGGGGCGGCGTGGCCCCTCCCTGCGTGGGGTTCTCCTGCCCGCAGATGCTGCCCGCGCTGGCCCCGCACCGGGGCAGCGGGTCTGGAGAGCGTGATCTGTTTTAGACCCGAGTTCTTTCGGGAGCCGCTGTAGAGAAGTCCCAGGACACACAAGGAAAACCCCTCAGATGAGAGGCAGTGGAGCCCAGCAGTGACAGCGCGTCCAGCAAACAGCAGGTCTGCGCTCAGGGCCCAGCGGTGGGAGAGAGCAGCGGGCAGGGGGCAGGGGGCAGGGGGCAGGGCCCCTCCCCTGGGCCCACGGGGCTTCCCCGAAGGAGCACAGAGACCCGAGCCGGCCAGGGAGAGTGAGCCGTGGGCCAGGCGGGTGGGGGTGGCGTCACAGGTGCCGGCCGGGCCTCCGCGGGTCTCTGTGCTCCGGCTCCTCCAGGACCAGACCTTTGGGCCTGGCGCCCCGGTGCCCTGCACAGCACGGAGCTGGGCGCACCAGGTATGGCCATGGCCGGGCACGGCCGGCACCCAGGAGCCCGGGCTCCCGACATCCCCTCGGAGGCCCGGATTGGGCCTGAGGGAGCCCAGCTGTGTGATGTCAGAGAGGAAGGGAGAGGAACAGATAAAAGCATCAATGATGAGAGAATCATTGATCAGCTGCCTCCTGGACGCCCCCCCCCCCCACTTCCCTTCCCTGCCCCACTGGGGATTGAGCCGCAACCTGGGCTTGTGCCCTCATTGGGAATCGAACCGTGATCTCCTGGTTCATGGATCGATGCTCAACCACTGAGCCACGCTGGCCGGGTGCACCTTGGATCACACCTGGGTGTCGAAGCTGTACCACCTCACAGGATCTGTGACCCGGCCTGTCTTTCTAACCCTGGACTAGGACAGGGATAAAGCAAAGCATGATGGGAAACACCAGCACCCACTTTCCCCCTGAGACAGCGATGCTTTGCATGGGCTCCCATGTGTGCCCATAAAGTGAAGTGCTATCCAGACGGGACATTTTTCCTCATGTGGGGACGGGCTGTTTCCCCGGGAACATTCCTCTGCTCGACCTGATCTCGAGCCTCCGGGGCCTGGGAATGGCCTGGGAAGCTGGGAGATGGAGGCCCCCGCTTGCCTGTTCCCCGCACTCTGGGTACGGGGGACCCCGGAGGTGGAGAAGCATCATCCAGGACACAGGGTAGAGTAGACCCTGTCCCACCACATTCATCGTTTAACCAGTTCTACGTCTAAGTGATTTCCAAATAGATTTCCCCTACTCCCCCCCTTTTAAAAATATATTTTTATTGATTTCAGGGAGGAAGGGAGATGGAGATAGAAACATCAATGATGAGAGAGAACCATTGATCAGCTGCCTCCAGCACGCCCCCAACTGGGGATCAAGCCCACAACCCAGGCATGTGCCCTTGACCAGAATTGAACCCGCCACCCTTCAGTCCGCAGGCTGACGCTCTAGACACTGAGCCAAACCGGCCAGGGCCCTTTTCCTCCTTTTTCAGTAGTTTACATTAACCAGTTTGCTTTTTACCCACAGCCTTTGAGCACTCCTGTTGCTAATCACTCTGGAGCCACATTCCTGCTGGGAATCTCTGTCCTCGCCAGGATGTCAAGGGCTGATGGGCGCCTGTCCGCGGAGAGGAAGTGGAGCCGTCTTCCTGTTTCTCTTTTCTTCACTGTCAGTCCCCAAGTAGGGACGCATCCCGCGCTGCCCTTGCTGAGTGAGCTCTGCTGGTGAGGGACGAAGGGGCCCGGCTCCCGTGATTCCACCGGGAAATGGAGCTGCCTGACTTAGGGCCGAGCCGCAGAAGCTGTGCCCGGGCCCGGAAGGCAGGGCTGCTGGGAGCCTGAGCTTCTCTTACCTGCTAACATAAAAGCAAGCATCACCTAGCATTCTCGTTGGAACAACACTTATCTGTCAGTTGAGGGCAAGCATAGGTTGGCTATAAATACACAAGTTTGGCAAAAATCAATGAGAGCTTTCTAAGGGAATCAATGGTCTATGTATATACATGTTTATATACATACTAGTGGCCCGGTGCACGAATTTGTGCACATTGAAAGGAAATTAATTAGAGGAAATATTTTAATATCGCTATTTGCCCTTTCTCTATAACAGAAGTGTCAACCAAATTCACAATCAACAAGGACAGATGGAAACACTTGTGCAATTGGCACTAGTGAGAGTTATATGTATCATGCATGTGCTAGTCAACTTAGCCTTTTATATATATATAGAATGAACTTGCTTAGTTAGACCTGCTTTCTGATTTAGCTAAACTTTTTCCAGCCCAGTGAAGCACCCCAACTTCTCTTTCAGGTAATCGTCAGCAACACAACATTAAGTATCAACATGAAGCAGATTATCATTGTAGATTACGCAGGGAGAACAAAGGGTGAAATATTTACCTGCAGCAGTGTTTGACTATATTCTGCGCAGTGAGAAAACCTGAAGTCATTTTCAAGGTCCACCATTTCTTCTTTTCAGTCAGGTCAAGTTTCTAGGCATTCTAAATCTCCATTTTCCAGGTAATGAAAAGAAAATGTGGTTCCACTGAGTCTCCTATCTACCTACTCCAGGACTTCTGTGAGCATCAAATGAGATGAGGTGTGGGAAAACACTTCACGGACATTTGGTTAAAATGTAAAATGTTTGCACCTGGCTATGAAGCAAGTCGTGTTCCTGGGCTGAAGAAACTCCCAGGAGGCTAGTTGCTAGGGAGAGGAAGCCAGGCGTTGCTATGTGATGTAATTACCTGGTGCTGACCACGTTTTTAGGCTGGGCAGGGCCATGGGCTGCATTTTGCGCCAGGGGGTCTGGGCAGCGTAGGCTGCAATTTGGTGGGCTGTCACTCCAGGGAGGAGGTGGGGGCTGTGTCCCACTTGGGGGAAGCTGAGTGCTGCTTGTGGGTGCCAGGTCTGTGGTGCCATTTATCTGTAAATGGCCAGTGCGCGTCATGGCAGCTCCTGCGCTCAGTGTCTGCCCCTGGTGGTCAGTGTGCATCATAGCGACTGGACAGATGGACACCTAGCATATTAGCCATATATATATATATATATATATATATATATAGATGTGTGTGTGTGTGTGTGTGTGTGTGTACATATAAACACACTCCCTCCTCTTCCTCTGGTTGGTTGATAAACATGTGGCTGGATGCTTCTTTCCCGAGGTGTGTCTGACCTTTTCCCATTTTCTCACTTTCCTGCTCTCCCCAGGGGGAGCCCCTCTGGTGCCACAGGTGACCCCGCCCACTCTGCAGGCAGACCTCAGCCCTGAGCGGTCACGTGGATGTTTACCACCCCCCAGAGCGCGCAGCACCCAGCCAGTGCAGAGAGGTGGGGCCCTGGAGCTCAGGAGGGCCTGGTTTGTGTGCTCCCTCAGCAACAGGATCCCGTGGCACAGCCCCGGGGGGACCACCCCCTGGGTTGGGTGGTATGTGAGTGAGAAGTCAGAGTTGGGAGCAACTGGGGGAGTGAAGGATAGGACACGGGGAAGGGAGGGCGATGCCCAGCATGGTCTGGGGGAAGGGGACAGAGGGGATGAGAGGAGGAGCACAGAGACTTTGGTGGGGGAGGAGCGTGAACAGTGTGCTGAGCATTGTAGGGTGGAGGTGTCTTTGGGACCTCCAAGCTGGGAACAGATCTGGGGGTTCCCAGGAGAGTCCTGGGCTAGTGGTGCTGGGAGCCTTCTGGGAAGATGGCAGTGAAAGCTGTGGGTACGACCAGCTTGTCTGGGGCTGGAGGGGGGTGAGGGCGGGTGGGGTGCACCCCCCTGGTGAGTCACATGGAATACATAGTCCGCAGAAGGACGGGTGTAGCTGGTGTGGAGGCTGAGGGAGGGAGGTTCACAAAGGTAGGTCAGCGGGGTGGATGCCAGAGGTGCCAGGGGGCTGAGAAGTTGTGGGAGGCAGGCAGACCAGTTGCCCAGGCCCTGCCAAGACCCAGGGACAGGGGTGTCGGGGGGACCTGGGATGAGAACAGTCAGCTAAGAGGGGTGGGCACATTCCAGATCCATTCCAGACCCAGGTTCAGGGGAGCGATCACCTGTGGGAAGTGGAGAGTGGAGGGGTCCAGCCCGCACCCCAGGTTTTGGCTTCTGTGATTGACAGCTGGTGGCCTTGGATAAGCAGGGAGCCCAGAGGAGTCAGGGACAATGGAGAAGCCTGCAGCCCAGGCAGGGGGTCTAATGCAGCGACCTCAGGCCTGAAGCTCAGGAGCGGTCAGTGCTAGGGAGCAGGTGGTTCAGCCCTGCAGAGGGTCGGGGGGGGGGTGGCCTCCACGGTGGAACCCGGGAGCGAGCACACAGGGAACTCCAATGAGTGTTTGTGGAAAGGATGAGGGGGGACCCAGGGACCGGCCAGTGTGCGCCCTGAAGAGCTGTCCCAGAGGGGAGAGAATCAGGGGACAGAGGCTGAGAGCTCCCAGGGGTGACCGGTCAGGTTCAGACCCTGCAACAGCCAATGGCGGAGGGGAGGCGGCCTGCAGGGGTCCACACGCTCAGTTTGGCTCCCATCTTTGGGGAGGGCAGCTCGCAGAGGGGGCGGCTCCCCCAGGGTCAGGGCCTTGGAAAGAAGGGGAAAGGAGGCCACAGGAAGCACCTAACAGAAGAGGCTGGTGAGGTAGGAGGGACATGCAGGCGGCAGCTGGACGGGCCGCCATGAGGTCAGGTCAGGGGGGATCTTCACCTGCCGTCCTCCTCCCTCCTCGGACTCTTCCTAGTTGAGTGGCCTTGGAAAACCCAAGGATCATTTTAAGCTGAGCTCCTGCTGTGATAGAAATCCCAAATCAAAATGGGATTCCACTTAGAGGGACTTAAATACACCAAGGCCTGGGAAGAGGGGCTGCCTGGGAAATAGGAAACGTGGCTTCCCCTTCTCTGGCCTCCTGGCTGAGGGAGGTCTGCATTCCAGGGGCCCAGGGCCCGGGGGCGGACGCGGGGAGCCCGGAGCCCGGGCATCGCTGCCAGTGACGAGCGGTGAGGAAATCCAGGACTCAATGCTACTCCAACTCATTTTATTACCATCCCATCCTTGTGTTCCAGAATCAATGGCTAATCAGTACAGGTCACAGAACTCAGAGAGAGAACACATTTGTACACCCAGTTCTTTGTCAGCACATTAAGGCCAAAGGAAAATCTCTTTATAGAGCCCCGGTCCCCAGGCCAAGCCCATCCCAGGAGAGCACCTTAGTAAACCGGAAACCATGTGTCAGGAACCGGCCATATACACACTAGAGGTGTGACTCCCAAAGAGAAAGATTGATGCCAACTGATGTCAATATAGGCTGTCCCCCAAAAAGGTAAAGAGAGGTAGGGCTGCTGATGGAAAATGAGTCCCCATTGGATGTAAATATGTGCTGTCCCCCAAAAAGGTAAAGAGAGCTCGGGCTGCTGATGGACAATGAGTCCCCATTGGATGTAAATATGGGCTGTCCCCCAAAAAGGTAAAGAGATGTTGGGCTGCTGATGGAAAATGAGTCCACATTGGATGTAAATATAGGCTGTCCCCCAAAATGGTAAAGAGAGGTTGGGCTGCTGATGGACAATGAGTCCCCATTGGATGTAAATATGGGCTGTCCCCCAAAAAGGTAAAGAGAGGTCGGGCTGCTGATGGACAATGAGTCCCCATTGGATGTAAATATGGGCTGTCCCCCAAAAGGTAAAGAGAGGTTGGGCTGCTGATGGACAATGAGTCCCCATTGGATGTAAATATGGGCTGTCCCCAAAAAGGTAAAGAGAGCTCGGGCTGCTGATGGACAATGAGTCCCCATTGGATGTAAATATGGGCTGTCCCCCAAAAAGGTAAAGAGAGCTCGGGCTGCTGATGGACAATGAGTCCCCATTGGATGTAAATATGGGCTGTCCCCCAAAAAGGTAAAGAGAGCTCGGGCTGCTGATGGATAATGAGTCCCCATTGGATGTAAATATGGGCTGTCCCCGAAAAAGGTAAAGGGAGGTCGGGTTGCTGATGGACAATGAGTCCCCATTGGATGTAAATATGGGTTGTCCCCCAAAAAGGTAAAGAGAGGTTGGGCTGCTGATGGACAATGAGTCCCCATTGAATGTAAATACAGGCTGTCCCCCAAAACAGGTACAAAGAGGTCAGATAATTGATGGAAAATTCTCTCCATTGAATGTACATGTAGTATCCCCCCAAAATGTAGACACATTAACAGCTGATAACGCACTTAATTTTCACTCCGTTTCAGTTTGAACAGATTTGAAGAAATCAGTGAAGACGGTAAGATTTGAACGAAGACTATGTCTCCACAAGACTTTTTATGGGGACACAGAAAAGATAAAGTTGAGGGGACCCAACACCAAGCAGTCGAGGATTCAAGGGCAGCTATTGAGAGAGATGCGTACAAACACCGAACCGAAGGAACGATTCTTGATGTTTGCGGCTCCGTGGCCACGTCAGTTCTGGTGCAGGCGCTGCTGCTGCTGAAGCAATGGAACTGCAAACACCGAGAATCGCTGCCTTCAGTGTTTCTGCGCATCCTCTGTCCACAGCGGCCCTGGATGCCTGGACTGGGGCCCGTTCGGGACCAGACACTTCATCCTGGATGTGTCCCCATCACAAAGTCCAGAGGATACATCTTCTTGGTTCCAAGCTGAGTCTGGCTTCACCCATTATATCAAATCCGCTCACCCTGAAAAGGAGGGAAAACTGAGTTCTCAGCTGTTAAAGTGCGTGTACATTTGGTGGACAGCCAGCCTGTGGTACATCCATTTGGGGGACACCTCAAAACACATATATTTCATGAGTGCCTACACGGGTATGGAATGTAGTAAATTGGGTTTCTATCCCGGGGAGTGACTCAGAAACAAAGACTCAAAGTGTCATCCTCGATGGTGGACACCGGGGGCTACAGCCGCGTTACCGACCAGGCTGCACCCGCCTCTCGCACACGCTCCCCTCTGCACACTGTGGCCTCTGCTGGGAGGGGGCGGGCAGGGCTTCTCTGCGCCAGGCGGGGCAGAGCCCATGATGGTAGAAAAGTGAACCCGGGGGCAGGTCCGGGGCCCAGGAGCCAGCTGGAGAGAGGCACAGCCTGAGGCCACCTGCCTGGATGGCCCCGGGCTCAGGAGTGTGGGGCCCAGGCCTGGCTCGGCAATGCTCTGGGGTAACAGTGAGCCCGACTCCAAGGTCCACCCAGGGCTGCGAGGTCTTGGTCGTCTGGCCGGTCTGGGCTTCCCTGTTCCAAAGTCGCTCCCGGCCCCTCAGGCCGATGGGAGAAGGGGCCCTGGTGGTCAGAAGGGGCGTCAGGAGTTTGAAGGCTCAGGGCCTGCGGGTCC